TCTTGGCACCTTGTTAACACAGGGTAATCGATATTTTTCTTATTACTATTTTATATCATTTTCGATATACAAAAATCGGCAGGCATAGTTAAAATCGTTTAAACGAATTCTAATGCCATCGTTTAAGACAACCCTTAAATTAGTATATCACTCCCCTATGGGCAATTTGAACCATTTTGGTGGCAAAAATTAATCATGACGAAACAAGTGAATTAAACAAAATATTTACTGGCATAAGATTTCGCACATTTTTGCAAAAACAATCTTAACTTTGACGACCAAGGGTCTTAGGGATCACCTCTAATTTGTGGTTTTATTAAAAATGTTTGAATGCAGTATTTTTCTACATATATATTTGTACAATAGTAAAAATTCCACTTATTAAAAATAAGCTATTTATGAAAAATATTGCCAGAGGAACCGTCTTCTATCTCCAAAAGGTAAATAGTTCACTACTAACAGTATCAACAATACCTACATTTTATTTTTTGGTCAAAAATACTTGTAAAGGTTTTTTTTGTATTTTATTTTTTTGTTGCACAATAACAGTTGGATATTTGATTTTTATTTTTCCGATCATAAAAGAGCAGTTAATATTTGAATTTTATTTTTCAATCGAAAAGAGGAGATAAAATTTCACTTCTACTTTCTCGATCAAAAATAACAAACAGTTCACTATCGATCTTTATATTGTTTTATTGCATCATTTGCTTGCTTATCACTAATATATGCTTATATGTACCTACGTACCAATAAAACGTTTCTAACTTAAATGTTTACAAGCAAATGAATATCAAATTTTATTTTTTATTTTTGATCGGAAAAATGACAGTGAAATTTTAACTGTTATTTTCGATTGGAAAAATAAAAATGAAATTTTTGGCTTTATTTTTGATCGGAAATATAAAGATGAAATTTTTATTTTTATTTTTGATCGAAAAGAGTAGCAGAATTTTTACTGTTTTTTTAGCCTGAAGAAAGTAAAATTTTAATTCTTATTTAGGACTGATAAAATACCGTTAAAAAATAACGATTAATTGTTGATTAAAAAAAATAAATTTATTATTTAAGAATAACATTGGTTGGCTAACAAGCATCACACTGCTACATTCAAATATTAAATAGAAATTCGAAAATAAATTGAATTGAAATTTCGAAAATAACTGTAATTTTCGATGCCCTTGTAAGTACTAAAACGGAGTACTTAAGGTCAATGAACTTTGGAACAAAAACAGTTTACAAGAACATCGATATATCATACTTTAAGCTCCCACTGTAACTGCCGAAGATCCGACGAAAAATTTAAAAAAGCGACCTCTACGTGCGGACAAAAAAAATTTAAAGGTCCTTGCAAAAATACTTGCTAAACGTATAACCTAAAACACGCAAGAAAAGTTAGTATCTTTGTTTAGAAGACAGACATAAACAATGAAAGGGCTAAAAAGGTAATGCGAAGTGAACGGAATTTTGGCCCTTTAAAACGTTCACTTACATTTGGGACTACGAATTGCAATACAAAAATACGCATCTGTTCAGATACAAATCAATTATATAAATAGGCAATCATGTTTCCTTTACACCCCTTTCACGGCTAAACTGTACTCCTAAGGTATNTAATAATTTAAAATAATTTTGTATTTACTTTTTACAGCTGCGCATGTTTATTTGTGTGTATTTATGCCATGTTTTAATGGTAGTGTATTTTTTATATATATTTTTTTTAACAACAATTAAAACAGAATTACTGGAGGCACTGTTGCCTAGTGGCTGGACATATCGAGCGTTATCTTCCTGTGTACAAAGTGTCTCGCTAGGGTTATACGGAAGCTAAACGGATGCAAACAAAAATCTCACACACCTCTCCTTTTTGGTCCAATCTAGAGCAAATGCAATGTTTCTAGGACTACTGTTAAATGATATTGTCAATGACCACTCCTACCAAGTTAACCGAGCTCTACAGGAGTGGATGACATATCATCGTATACGATTTTACAACAAAAACACACCAATTACCACCTTCTTCTCATCTCTTTAACTTAATGCTGGCGTATATTTGCTCCAAATATTTGTATTATTATCTGCGTCATACTATTTTGCAGACATAATATTTGCCTATTTAGTTTTTAGCAAACATCATTATGCTCGCAATTCTCTAAAAACAAAACTACCAAGTACAGAAGTATAAGTTCGCGCGAAACCGAATTTTATATACCCGGCGCAGGTATCAACTATTGTCGTTCGAACTTTCTTTAAACTACCTAAAAGTCTATAGCAGTCTTAGATATTGTTAAGAGATTGTTGTAAGTATTAACTTGGAGTAAATTAACGACCTCACTTATTGAAATATAGTAGTTTTCGTATATCCGAAAATTACCGTTATACGGGAAACCGGTGCAATTTTAGTTAGATTTGAATAATTTTCAACGAATTGCTTTTTCGCACCAAGGTTATTAAATACACCAAGTTTGGTAAAAATTGATAAATCGGTTACCGAGATACACATTTGTGGTCATAAGTGGGCGGCGCCACGCCCAAAATCCAATAATTGATAACAGTATAATTGTTTGCTCAGTGGTCATTGCAATACTCGATTTTGAGTCAATTATGTAAAAATGTAAATTATGTATTATGTAAATAACCGTTATATGGGTGGGGCAATAGCCACGGCCCGATTTCAATGATTTTCAGCAAATTTTTTAGCTGGAGCTTAAGCAAGGCCGAGTTTGGTAAGGATTGGTGAAGCGGCTACTAAGACACAGTATTTCACCATAAGTGGGCGGGGTCACGCACCTTTTCCAAAAATTTCATAATAATATTATTTTGTACCAAAATTCTACTTCACATACTAATTTTCGATTTCGCCCATTTTCAATAGCAACCTACCTTGGATAAAGGGCAACCTATATACAAAATTTCGTTGAGATATCTCAATTTTGGCTCGAGTTATAGTGTTCACGGACAGACGAATGGACGGACGGACGGACAGACTGACATGGCTTAATCGACTTCTCTTTTCATTTTGATCACAATGTATTTGTCTGTATCTATCTCGATTCCTTTAGGCTGTTACAAACAACCGTTATGTGAACAAAGTTATAATACCCTGTGCACAAGTGCGCTCGGGTATAAAAAGAAACTAATTATATTTGGTTTTATTTAAAATGAAAATGCGAGCCTCCGGATTTGTGTCGGCCAAGATTTTGTGTTCATTTGTGAAATTTAAAATTAGAATAAAGACTTCTTAATAATGTACATATTTATATTAAATATTTATTTATAAGCACTGAAAGCTTTTTGAAAAACAATATTTTTCATTTGTACATATGTACATACTTATGTATGTACTTACTTTTGCACATTGCGCACTATTTTTAAAATTTGTGCAAAAGCAAATGATTCATAGCCATTGTCTTTATAGACATTAAAAAAAATAATAGACGCGTCGTATATCCTTGGCGGCCGCTGTAGCCGAGTGGTTAGAGGTGCGTACTACCGCTCCGTTAGGACCAACGTTGGACCCCTGGACAAATTGAGTGCATTTCTATCATAAAAAAGCTTCTCATAAAACGCTTTTGTTGTCGTTCGCAGGCGGCGTAAAACTGTAGGTCCCCCGTTTGTGTAACAACATGAAGATGCGCACCACATCATTGGAGAAGAAGCTCGGCCAAGCACCTAGCAAATGTGTAAGCGCCAAAATATTATTATTATCGTACATCCTTTGCTGGATGTTTTTGTTTGGCATTCTGATCCAATTCAGCGTACTTAAGTTTAATATACAAAAAATTGGCGTTCTTGCAACCGCCAAGAAGTTTAAAAAATGGCAAATTTGTTTGTATGTACTTATTTATGTCTGAATTGAAAGCGTATGCAAACATATATACATATAATCACTGTCAAGTTGTAGGTCGACGCGCATCCGGCGTCAAATTGGATATATTATTCAATTAACGAAGTGGTGGTGTAAAAATAACTTTTACTCGAAATACGTGTGACTGAATTAAGTATCTACATAAATTGTCTTGGTAGTTTAAATCTTTGGATGTAGCTTTTTGTAAATTTTAGTAGTGGAAATTTGTATGTATTTCGCACGTCAAGGGTCAAGTAACCCATATTTTTATTTGTGTGTCAGACATTTATGTGGCGGTAAGAAAGAAAGGTACATATCTACATACATAGTACACACAGGTGCATACATACATATGTGTTTAGATCGTTACATGCATGTGTACATATGTATATTTATGTTAGTATGTCTGCCTGTATATTTGTATGTATGTAGGTGCTCACCTCAATGAATTTTCAATGCCAAATGAGCGCCACACACATAATGCATTTTTTCTGTGCATTTACAATTGGCACACTTATTACAAACAATTACCAATATGTAATGCGCACGATGATTCTACTACATTCTCTTTCTCGTCTGCCAGCTCCCTCCCAGCCTTCCTCTCTCGCGCTCTGTTATGTTGGACGATCCGCCGGGCTCCTAAATTTGTACACATGCAGTTTTTTCTCAAACTTTTACAAATCTGCAATCTGCAAGATCAATGATCGCTAGCGGCTAGCATTTCATTCAAAAATCAACACTAATTTTCTTTGAACATATATATGTACATATGTACATGTGTACATACATAGCTTGTGGGACGCCTATGAATCGACGTACGACGAATCGCCCCCGCCTTCGCAACCGCCTCCAGCTATGTACTTATTCCTAACCAAAAGAGTTATATATCCATAGAGCACATTCTCCCATGTACATACATACATATATAGTATATCTACATATATATGTATAGCATCTTACCACCTTCGTTTTGCTTCGTTTTTGCTCAGATACGCTCAGAAATTTTGCTGTGCCAGCGAAATTTGGAAAAGTAGTGCAGATCCGGGGTGACGGCAGCGGTAACAGCGCGACGGCAAAGAGCAAGAGCACACGTCCAACTTATACTCAATTGGATACCAAAATCGTCGTCGGCGTTAAGTGAGCGGGCGAGCGAGCGATCGTTCGAGCAGCGACTATATAAACGCCGCGCAAACTGATCGCGTGCTTTAGTTAGAGCGTGGATATATTTTCAAAATAAAATTCGAAAAGGTAAAATGCCAAATATAAATTGTGTGCGATTCGAGTGAGACGAGACGGTAGTTGGCATTTGCTGATTGTTAAAATTTACATAAATATATTTGCATTCGTAATTTAAGTTTCGCACTTTTTTTTTTGTTCTTTTTTGTTGTTGCATATTATGTGCGCTGGTTGTAAGCGTGGTTGTGTTTGTTGGCGCAGATATTACCTACTAACTGAAATGCGGAATGAAGTGGCCACTCTGTCTAACACGACTAACCGACGACTTGAAACTATGAAACTGTGCAAAAAACTATGAAATAAATTGCAATCCAATGAAATGCATAATAAAATCTTTATTCTTTCTTTTAATATTGCTTGATTATAAAATCGATTTGTTACGATGCGAACCGATTGCCCCTTTCAATTGACGTTGTGAACAAAAACAAAAGAAAAAGAAGAAATAAATGAATAAAATGAATGTTTTACTGCGGACTGCCGACTGGCTTGGATTTTTAAAACGAAATCTATAAGTTGCAAATCGAAGCAACAAATTGCTGTTATTTTTTGTGTTGAATCAACACGGCGCTAGTATAGTAGTGCGGCGAATTGCTGCTAATCATAGAACGCTTTTGATCAAAACAAGTGGTAGGAAGTATATTCGGCGCGTCAAAAAACATATAACAGCAATTAGTGATGTGAAATGGTAGTGAAGGTCAGATAAAAACAAATAAAAATAAAAATAAACAATTAACTGATTTGGAAAAATAAGTTGCCAAAATAATAATCGTTTGAATAATAGACAATGTTAGCTAACAATAAAACATTGGTAGATACAAGAAGATTAATAAAATGCACACATATGCATTGCATAATAATTGCTGAAAGAGCAAAATTTGTATTGAAATTGAATTAAACAACGGAAAAAATTTGTGAAACAAAAAGTTTGCAGGCGTCTATAGTAAGGCGTATTGAAAAACTTATAAAAACAAATTACAAAACAAAAATAAAAATTTTTAGTTAATTCCTTGATAATAAGAAACTAAAAAAAAAAACAAAAATAAAACATCATTGCGTACATATATTAAAATTAAAAAAAAATAATAAAATTTAAAATTAATAAAAAAGGCACTCCTAAAATTTGAATGCATAAAAGGAGTTTTAAAACAGAAGCAAAGTATATTCCTTAATTCGAAAAGGTCGCGAAAATTTTAAAACTATAATTAATTTATCAAAATTTCTGTGAATGTCAAATTTTAAATTGCCGCTTTTTATATTTCCCATCTGAAGGGATTCTCAATTTTTTTTTTTTTTTTAATATACAAACTAGGAATAAAAATTAGTAGTATCGAAAATATTAGAGCTCTTGTTAGTCGACTAATCGCTTAATCGATTAGCAAAAGTTGTTTCAAAAAAATAGTCGACTTTACTTAATCGCCTAATCATTTCGACTTGTTCAACTAGCCCCTCATTCTCGATTAGTTGTTTTCTTTCAATAAACATTGTTTTTTTTTTTTATATGTTTTGAGTACTTATGATTATTGACAAAACACAAACGCGCTAATAATAATAATTAATAATAATTTTATTGTGAACAACCGTTACTATTCGAATAATTTCGGTTAGTCGATTTTCAGACTACTCCATAGTGAGCGGTTATTTAAAAGTGAACGGTAAGTCGAATTCGAGCCGCTTAGCAAGTAATTGCTATTCGACTATCAAGCGAAAAAAATTTGCCATCGACTAGTCGACAACCGGATATTCAAATTTTTACAAGAGCTCTAGTAAATATGTATATACAAAGATTATAAGCAGCTAAAAAGTTACAAGAATAATGAATTGTTAGAAAAATATTTAGATTTTTTCTTTTACAAATATTAGTCAATATTTAGATATGTATACAACTTTTGTAAAAATTGTAGTATAAATTCACTAAAAATAAAAATCTGAATTAAAGATTCTGCAAGCAAATAAAATAATGATTTTAATTTAAAAAATATATATACATATATATTTTTTGTACTTCCGCCCAATTTTAAATTAAAACTACTTCAATCAATTTTAATATTTGCACATATCGCCAGGTTTTCCAAATCCGAATCTCCAACGTTTTTTTTGCCAATTATGTATGGAATAAAGCATATCGTAATATGTACTTACAAGTACATTTATTAAATAGAGACACTTTACCGCGCTTTATTTACAGTACATCAGAACAAAATATTGCTTTAGCTTTTGCTAGAAGGAAAATGAAGAAAATTTAGACGTTTTTATAAGACATATCAAAAATGACAAATTTTAAGTTAATAGGCTTTTGCATAACGTGTACATAAATAAGTATTGTTCAAATACAAACAAAAAAAAAACAGTATTGTATATCAAACCAGAACCATATGTTTCGCTATTCAATGAAACTCTGCATAAGCGAAAATACCAGAAAAACTTGTATGAAAACGAAAGTCATAAATATGCTAACTAAGTACATATGTATTTAAAAATGTACATACATATACACCTAACATGTGCCAGTAGAGTATTTACGTACGTATACTTAAGAAAATATAAATTTTCGCAAAAATTTCTGATGAGAAAGTAAAAGCTTTTAAGAACAAGAGGAAAAAAATAAAAATAGATGCACTTAACTACAGAGGTACTCGAAATATATGTGCCAAAAATACATACATAACCAGGTATTTTCGGGTTAACGTACATACTACATACTATATGTATTTATTTCAATGTACATATATACAAAGATAAATAAAAAATAATATTACTGAATATTCATGAACAACTCGGTGAATAGCCAGAATGTCGAAATCAAAGCAGAAATTTTGCACATAAGTGATGGTCTTATATAAATACATAGAACAAACAAAGGGGAGCAAAATATAAGAATTATGATGAAAAATAAAAAATTTCCTCAATAACTAATATAGGAGAGTTAACCACTAATGCTAAAGGAAATCAGGATTGGCTATCATATAATCCATCAATTGCTTTTTTATGCAAAGCATGAGACGTTTTTTGGACGCTCCGGATGTTGGCAGTTATTTATAGTTATAGTTAAATGTCACACACACTATTTAGTAACTAATAGTTTTAATTAAATAAATTTTTGTAGACAATTTCACAAAATATGTAGTATATCTAACGTATAATTATCTCTTTATTTCGCTATAATATATAATACAAATAGCCAAATAAACAAATGGTGGAAACTGGTGGAAAAAATGGGAACTTCCAAAAAACAAAGCATTTTCTTTTATTTCACGCCACCTTGAATATTCTTATGCACAATAAATGCAGACAGAAGAGGGCCCCGCCCCGTCTCTCTCCACCGGCAACACAGGAATAGTGATGTTCCGATACCAGTACTTAGAAGTATATACTCGAATACCTCTACCAAGTACCGAGTATTTTTTGTACTTTGATACGCGTGTACAAGTAATTCATGGGTATCGAGTACAAAGTACAAGTATTTACTTGTTTGTTAAATTTGGGAAAATCAACTGAAAATAGATCTATGCTGTAGTTTTTGAAAAAAAAAACGATTCAAGATGTGAACCACGCGATTTTGCTAGGGTTAAAACTAACGAAAGTGGAGAACGAAAATCGTATCGAATTAGAGGAGGTTGTGCAGCCAGCCTATGATTTTCAGAAGCGTCGTCTATGGATCGTTTTGAAACCGAAAAATCAAACACGAGTAAACAATGAGCTTTCTCATTACTTATCATCTCCTATTTCAGCACTTCCAAGTAACCGCTTTTCAAAATACACAAAAGGATATCAAAAAGCATTTTCAGCTCTTCATAATAGCCCAGTTATGCATACTTAGCTTTGTATAAGAGTTGTCACATAAGAATCTGTTAAACGGGCTGTGCGTGTAAGCGGTTACCCAACTAATAGCACTTAACATGTAGAATTATGTTGGGTTTTGATTTTTACGTAAAAATGGTATAGCAGTGCAAGTATGCATAACTGGGCTATAATCCTTTCTCCACAGTACTATGTCGTTATTTTGTAAATGGGCATTGAATTAAAATTGCTTGTGTGAGTACTTTCGAGTACAAGTAGAATCTAGTATTTCCTAGCGATACTTTAAGTAGCATCGAGTATTCTCTTCGATACTTTCAATGAGTACAGGCATCGAGTACATGGTGGTATCGGACGAACACTGCACAGGAATGAGAATTCTGCTGATTAAGGGTTATGATCCGTAGGCCGCCCAAGCGGAAAGGAATTCTTTGCAAAAATGCTGTGGTTGTTGTAGCCGGTGTTAAGCTATGTGGCAACGCCAACATTTTACGTCATTAAACTTGTATACATGCATATTTTCATGCAAAATTTCGTGTTTTTAACAACGAATCCAGGCTTTTAACACCTGGTTTTAATGTGTTTTCTAAATGAACACTTAATTTTTTTCTTTTTACGAGATTTGAGCTACGCATCCGCCAAATTTGAGACATATGTATGTCGTAATTATGATTTGTGTACATAGGTTGTCACTAAAAGATTTCCCCAAAATTTATGGCTTTATTTGCAAAAGATATTTGAAGTTCTTCAATATAAATCATTTTATTTCGCAACAGAAGTTTACGTATAATAAATGCAAAAAACGCCCTAAGATGAATTGCTCTTTCAAATGAGCCTGGTTTTGAAGGTGTACAATTAAAAAAAAAAAAATACGCGAGTATTTAATTTTTTTTATTAATGTACGAAATTCTACTTCATGAAAAAATTGTGATTCATATATTCGCATGAAAACTTGATGCCCTCTGCTTCCAAAGCAATGTAATTATACTCGGCAGACGTTTTGCGCTGACCTTGAATATACTTGTAACAAGTTGAGCATGAAGGATACTCAAAATTATCGTAAATGTTCTCTATCCATTTTTGCCACTTGCTTCTTTATCAGGACTTTAGTGGACTTCAAGTGATGCAGTAGAATACACCATTGATAAATAATTGTTTCTCCTAGTCCAAGTAAACAGACGGCATCACTTCCATAACGATCTCTTAGGCTTTTCCTCCTTTAGTGAGGAACTTTATCACGGAATTTATGTCAGAAATGAAATTAATTGCATTCATTTGAAAATGAGCGGATGATTCCCAAATTTACCCTAAGTTTAGAATTGATTTTTTTTTCATTATTTTTACACGCTTGAATACACGCAATACTATATACTAACTCTCTAAGTTAATTAAGCCCAGACGGTCAGAAGACAAATAAATGTAGTTGAATAAATTAAATTGCTCCGTCTGCGATTTTTACGTAATACACTATGTAGTTTTCTAAATCTTTTTTGCTCAAATCTGCCATACTTCAATGCAAACCGCAGGCAGTGCGATTTACAAGGCGCATAGTTAGAAGCGGGCGTGCAGAGCGGGCAAACTTTGGCGTGCAAACGCAAAGCAAACAAAGACCGTGAATGTTAAAATTAGAAGAACTTTTGAAAATCGAAATACAAAGGCCGAAAACAATTAGTGAATACACGAGTACTTATTTGACTGTGCAATTGTTTGTATGTATATTAAATTTTCGCAAACAAACGGCGAAAGTGAAAAAGGCAATAAGTAAATAAAGTAAAAGTGCTGAGTAATAGAAATTTTGAAAGCAACAATTTAATAATTTGTAAACAAAATCTGGCAAACTAAATAGTTAACTACATACATACTTGCACGTATGTATGTATGTATATTTGCACATACACAGAACAAAAAGCAGACAATTAGAATTCGCAAATATCGCATCAAACGGAGACAGGTGCGCGCGCAATAACCGTTTCCACTTTCATATTTTCGCAAATGACATTTGAAGTGCAAACGCTACCAAAAAAACACAGCCAATGCTACGCGCCCACAATTACAATCGGCGCACACGAAATTGCAACAGCTAATCAAAAAATTGCACTCGCAGCTTCTCGTTGCGCTTGCAAGTTGCAACGCGAGCGTTTGCATGTAAAGAGTGCAACGCTGCAGCGTACAATTTCACATTTCTTCGCTCTCTTTCTCTTCAAAGTATACTCACACATCGTTCGCTTCTCTTATTCTCTTTTAGCGCATTATTATCAAACAAATAAGCAACAAAAAGAGAAAATTCAAAGTGTGGTAAATAGCAGAAGTTAAGAAATTGTCGAGTTAACTACGTTAAACACACAAAAGAACAACAAAATTCAACAAAAAACTGCACCACAATGAGTGGACGAGATAACCGTGGCAGTGGCCACCAACCGCTCAGCAATGCAATGGGCAAAATAAAGGACAAACTCACGCGTTCAACGGTAAATCTCTCAGCTTTTTTAGGCTCAAATGTGCAAAAAAAATCAAAAAACAAAAAACTAATAAAGCATTCTATATACCAACACCATTCAGGACAGCTACGAACGCGTCGAAGAGGGACTCTCTCAATCCAACACAGCAACCAGTTTGGACACAATTCTACCCGAGGATCCATTCCTCTTTCCACGAGGACCCACAGCACAGCAAAGACAAATGGTGCCGCAAAATAATTTCAGCGTCGACGATACACCTCTACAGTTTGGTCCAATCATTGAAGACAATGACATACGCGCCCCACCCACATTGCCGCTGCCTAGCAGTCAGACTAAAACTGGCGGCGGCAATAAGGATTTCGTGGCGCTACCACCTCCACCGTCGTCACAGCACAGTCACCGCGATCACCACCAGCGCAGCACAGTTTCGCTAGCCAATGATGACCTGCAACGCAGCAAGCAGTCGCTAAAGGGATCGCGCGTGTCCTTCGAGCGTCGCTCTGTTGACAGCAGTGATGAGGATAATTTCGAGAGCCTGCGCAGTGGCTATCAACAACAGAAAACAATTAGCGTAGACCACAAGGGTATATTGAAGGTATGTAAAAATTGTTAAAAAAAAAAAAAAATCCGTCTACTTATGTCCGAAATATTTTTCGTTTTCATTTACATTTTTCAGGACCTCAAAAACATACTTGCAAACGACAATCGTCGGCAGTTTCAAGCTAAAAAACATGTCTCGCTTGATGTGAAAGGTACACGCTTTCTGGAAGACATGCTGAAAGAATCCTCCTCTGAGGAAGAATTTCGTAAAAATCGACGAGAATTCCAAGGTCGAAAACATCAAAGTTTAGATCCCCGCGTCAGCTTCAGGCTGGAAAAGGTGCTGCAGGGTTCCAGTACAGACAGTGAAGAGGAAGCGGATGATGTGGAGCATAAGCGTTTAATACACCGCCCCAAGGACATAACCAAGCCGGTCATTATTGATCTCAAGGACTTGGAAAGTGAAAGTGAGGAGGATTATTTGACAAGTCGTCAACATTTCCAGCAACAACGCTCCATAAGTACAGACTCCCGAAAGAGGTGAGTGAACTGTGTGTGTGTGTGTATATGTGTGTGTGTGTGTGTGTGTGTGTGTGGCGGGTGAAAGTGTGAATGGAGAAATTAATGAGCTTTTTTGGTGCTTGTTTCAGCCATAGACTGTATGAAATGGATGAAATGGGTAAAAAGAAAAATGAAAACCTGCGCAACGCTGTACCTTTTGTCAGACAAATCACCGAGGATGGCAAACCCAAACTGGAAGTGTACCGACCGACAACGAATCCAATATATATTTGGACGCAGGTGAGCTAATATACATATAAGAAAATAGTAGTTAAGTGTAGGTTTTATATGTAATTAATTAGCCTTAATTAGAGCATTAAAATATGTATATGTGTTAGGGTGGTCCTTAAAATATAAACATCTAAATTTTGTAAGAGGCTCCCCTTAAAATTTTGAACAAACTTTTAAATGTCGCTATTATGCCGAATTTCCACTAGGCATTGAAATGACAAAAACTTGGAGGCATTTAAGAAAGGCCAGGTGGAAATGAATTTAATTACTATCTTTTTAACGTAAGGACTTTGCCATTACAATTTTTGTCATTTAATGCCTAGTGGAAATCCAGCTTTAGGGTTTGAAATTTTTTTATTGTTTTAAAATAGCAAAAACTCGTTCAAATTATGATTAAAAATCTACTAAAATTATATTATTGAAACTTATCTATATAAATTACAAATTCAAAATTTTTGCGATTTTAAAAAGAAAATTAAACTTTTTCGAACGCAAACAAATTGTTTAGTCATGAAATTTTCGTGGATATATATTGTTTACGTAGAACAAAATAAACAGGTGTCCCATTATGTTGATATTTTAAGGAACACCCTAATAGGTATGTATTGTATGTATGTATGTACATAAGCAAGTAACTAGTGCATATTCTTGAAAGCAGTTTTATAATCTATCGCTACACTCCGGGTATGGATCAGCTTAAAGAGCTTAAAGAGAGTGCGTTCATTGCGCAGGAAAGCAAAACGTATGGTTAAGGCTCGTTTCCATACTTTTTTCAGTACATATTATACTTTTTTTGGATTCCAAAAATGGATACTGCTGTTTTTTTTTCAAAATACTGCATTTATATAAAAAAGCTTCTTTTGCTTTCTACATTTTTAATGCACTGAAGTAAAACAATATAAGCTAACAGCAAATCGTTTGTGGAATATTGCTATAAAAATGCATAAACATACAGTCTTGTGTACAAAATAGGCTAAAGACATTTTGACCAGTTTTGCTTGTTTAATGTTTTTTTTTTTTAATTAAGGTCTAATTAATTACATAATACTTAATACCATATAAATCGACATTTCAAACTTTTTAGAGAAATTTAAAAAAAAAATCACAACAACGAACTTTTTATTCATAATTTTTAGAAAATTTCTAAGTAAGACATTTTGAAGCCCATTAAATTCTAGTACAATAAGTACAGTGCAAGTTTCAGGACACTAAGAATTCGCGTTTTTGATAATTTCTTTTTATAGCCGCCGGTGCTTTGCTTCTCCTATTAAAATTTCATTTGTGCCATTTAGAGCCTTTTGCATTGTTGACGCCGATATGTACTACATATTCATAAATGTATGTATATTGTGAGATAATATTTTTGTACTTGTACTTTGTCGAATTTTCTCAGTACTTATGCATTTCAAAAAGTAATTAAAACATTTTTTTAAACTGTCTTGAAGAATAAACACCTGATAGCAGCAGTACAGGGAATCCCAAGTGGGACTGTGCACATATTTAAAAAAAAAAATCTTAGCACTCAAATGCCTACTTAATAGATTTTTCAACATTTGTATAGTGATGATAACAAATGTGGTTTTACTTTCGCACACCGCCGATTTCGCTTACTTGCATGATCTATGTGCATATATATATAAAAGTATATGTAAGTAAATAAATATATTTACTTTTTCACACAAAAAAAAAACAATAATTTTCTTCGAAATTCGAAGATGAGTAAATAGTTTTGTTTTCGAATCATTAAATAAATTTACACATATACATACATAGCAATTATATATTACATATGTACATATACATATTTATGTACGTATTAAAATATATAAGTGATAATCGAAATTTGCGACTTGTCTGGAGAGATTAAATGACCTCAAAGTGTGAATACAATGAAATTGAAAAATGAAATTAAAAAAAAAACAATACAAACACACATATTTTTCAAGACATAATCAATTTACAATTTATTGTACTGATAAAAATTCTACGAGGCTGTGCTGCTCTACTCTAGGAATCAGTGGATAGACTGAGTGTAACACAGGAGTTCAACGTAGTTGCGTTTAAAACGCCAGTCGTGCCAATAAATCAATTTTAAAGCTGGGAAATCAATACATATTGGCACATTGCTAAAGAGGATAATTGTATTTGCAAGTGTTTTTTCGAGTTCGAAAATGGATCCAAATGTTAAATTCGACATAAACGAGAACTACCAGCCAATTTATATTTGGAGTCAGGTACATACATAAATGAGTGGGGTGAAAATCGAAAGGATACGGTATTTAGAAAGTTTTATTGAAAGTCTTAAAAGTGTAGAATTCAATTGAAAGGTGTTTTTAAAACACTATTTTTACGAGTGTTGTTTGAAAATTTACACAATATTTGATTTTTCATAAAGATTCATGTCTGACAAATAGTCTAAAAAAGTACAGTTTTGATATATAGAAATTTTTTTTAAACGTGTATTTTTCTAAGTTGTAAAATCAAATCGGACGGACGTTAAGTCTTAAAACGTTATGTATGTATGTGTGTATGTAATTTAGACTGCCTCAGCTCCACACAAAGCAAAATCTGTTAGCCTTCTCAAGGCCAATCATACAATTTTTTACTTTATATCCTTCTACAAAAATATGTATTTCGTCTCAATTCAGTAACATTAATGTGCTTGACAGTGTTGAAAATCATGTTTTTATGAAAATGTTTATTCGAAGAGCTTTTTCCCCCGAAAATTATCTGAAAAAAGAGTTTTAAATACAAACATACATACACCGTACCACCTTACCAGCAAAGAAAAAAACGTTCGCCGTACACCCCCCAAGTCTGGTGTATTTTTGCAAGACAATTTCGAAAAAAAAAATATTTTAACTAATTTTTAATAATATGTTTTTGCGGATGGGATTATGCGTTTTCTTCCATACAAAGTAAGTTCGAAAATTGTTATATGGAAGAAAATGCGTGAAAGTCTTAACAAACAATGATGTTAAAAATTTTTCACAAACTTGAAACTTTATTGTACTTAAATTTATTGGGCTACAAAAGTGCAAACTAAAATTTTTTCTAGACATTCTGATTAAAAAGTTTGAAATTTTGGTGACAATTTTTTGAAATTTGTTAGATTTTCGCGAATTTCGCACAAATTTGTTCATTTTTTTTTAGTCCATTGATCTCAAGTACCCCGTTGTAGTACTTACTCATCACCGCCCTAAGATAGAACCCTAATGCCAGTAAAATAAGACTTTCCAAAAATCAATAAAATTAACGCTTTTTGTGATCATCTGATTCGGAAACCACAGTATTTACACGCCTTACTTGTCCGATCTCCTCCTTTAAAAGAGTTTTGCATTACTAAACCGAAATTTTTAATCAACAAAATAAACTAACGCTCTGTGAATGCTTAATCAATATTTGTATTAATTCTTGTTTAAAGTGAATTTTGTTCTTATTTATTTATTTCTTTCGTCTGGGCCGAGTTTATTGGCAAAACAAACTTTGATTGTAACGGTACTTTTTACAATGGGAATCAGGTGAAATAATTATAATTAGATGAATATTTATTTATATGGTTGCATTCTTATGGCCTTATTCATAAAAAATAGCTTATAAAAGGTTTATAAATTGAAAAATGTATGAAAACGTAAATTTATTAAGCTTTTTAAACCTACTTTATTTTTAATGAATAAGGCCATTAATGTTTCGATTACACTGGTATTTAAACAGCTGCGAATGTGACAGCTTAAATGAAGCAAACGAAACTTAAACCGAGAAATAATTAAGCTTGCAGAAAAATCTGTACCATTCAAGATCTTTAACTCCTCAACGTTAACAGTTTTTCGTGGATAATTTTACTTGATGGAGAATTTTCAATGATCTCACTTTGTTTTTCTTTCTACACAAAGCGTGTTAAGCGTAAAAAAATACAGATTCGTTTTATTGAGTGTAAAAAAATATTGTTTTTACTAAAAGGTATATATGTCTGTACGTAGTCATACAAGTTTCGCGCAAGCAGCGATTAGAAAGCTTGAAAATTAAATAATTATTTAATTTTAATAAAAAGCATCAAAGCCTGAAATAGCTGAACTTTTTCGTGTCGGCTAAGAAACTGAAAGCTTGAAGTATTTAATTGTAGCACCTGACATACAATTCTTTATACCTATTAGCACAATGCTTATAGTAATACAAATAATAACAGCATATGACCTTGGCAGTGTTAGACTGAATTACTCGGCCTTTAACTTGTTATTCAGAGCTTGGGTATTTATACACAAATTAGATATTCTTTTCAAGCTATCCGTTCATTTATGCTTAAAGGCCAGCTCTTCTTAGAGAAAATGGAAGTGCAATCATAGTCCCTCATATGCCTATTGCAGCCAGGGGATTTACTTAAACCCAACAGCAGTGTTTCCTTAAAGAAATTTCAAAGAAAAAATTTACTTTTTTTTAATGTTGAATGCGAAGTTTTAAGACCCCGCCCGTTTTGGAAAATAACAAGCCAAGTAAACATTTCATTTGTACAAGTTTTTTTTTACATCGTTCGGACTATTATTTATGGGTCGCTAAACTTCGAAAAATAAAAAAACGAAAAAACCGAGAAAGTCCCGAAAAATTCCCAAAAGCCCCGGAAAATCCTTAAAAGTGGTACCAAGGGAGCCAAAAAATCTCGAAATTTAGCATGAAAATCTCGAAAAAATCCCGAACGGAGCCATTAAAATCCTGAGAAAATCTCGACTAATCGCGAAGAATTTATTTTATTATATGTGAATAAAAATAAAAGCAAAACTAAGGAAAAATCCCAAGAGATCTTGAAAAAATACCAAAAAGTCACAAAAAGTACGGAAAAGCAGCGAAAATTCCGAAATATATAAAACGAAGAATATTGAAAACGTTCGAAAAAGTCCCAGTAGTTTAAGCAAAATTCCGAGTTAAATACGTGACTATTTAAAATTCACAAACTCCTGTGCGGTCCCGATTCAAACGAAAACTTAGTCTAAAAAAAAACAAAAATTATAGTGTTTTATTTTTTTTTATTGGTACTTAAAAAATAAAAATAAAAAATTCCAAGTTATTCTCTGTTCAAAAAAATATCAGGCAGATTTTATCGTTTATTTTTTTCTGCAAAAATTTAAAAGGTAAAAACACAAATTTAAATTTGTTCCCTTTTCTTCTAACAATTATGTTATTTTTTATGTTAAATTAAAATACAGCGCTGTTCAGAAATTCGAAGTTAACGCTAATAATACGCTGATAAAAATAATTTTTAACAATTTTCATGAGAAAACAATACATTAATTAGTTTAGACTTTTACTTAAAAAAAAAACAACCGTATTGGTTAAAAATAACCTAAAAGACTACTTAGATAAGAAAGACTTATGGGAATTCGAAGATAAATGCAAAAAATAATTTTTCTCGGAAAATGTACGTGATGGAATTTTTTTTATTATTTTTTCGTAGCTAAGTACCCAACACCTACTCAAATTGCTAATTAGATTTTAAGAGGGAAACCACTGCAGGTCTTTGTAATCGGTACTTCTTGAACAAGAGTTACATTTTTTTAAGTCATGAGGAACCATATAGGGATCTCTTTGAAATAGAAGAGAAAAAATACAATTTTTACAAGCTTTTATATGCATGTATTTATGCATGTTTGTTTGTTTGTTAGGGGCAAATCTTGCAATCAATTTTTGATCAACTTCCCGATGACCTAGAGGCTTGAAACTTCATAGTTGGCTCAGAATCCGAATCATTGGGAACTGAATCATTTTTGAGCTACATACATATGTAGGAGTATTCGCTTTGTTTCTCAACTTTTCATTGAAGACCACATACGATTGACTTACGTACTTCTGCATAAACTTGCCCAGGTTTTAAGCCACATAAAGATTTCAATGTCTTTCGACTTCTTTAAAACAATGCAATAGTATTACATAGCCTCGGAGAATGCTCGCATCGAAGGCCTGCAAGTGGGCAATAAATTTTTAACTCTTGCTATATTTATAAACAAGTGTGCGATGCAAAGGCATAAGGCGTCTTTTAAGCTATAAATTGAATAAAGTATAAATAACGCACTAAATAATGATAGCAATTTCACTGAGTGCGTAGGATGCGTTAAAGCAAAGTCAAGGTAACAAGCAGGACACGTGCGGGATATATGCTCTCTAATGCACCGCCTGTCTGTTCACTTTTCAGCCAATCAACTTTTGATGGATGGTTAGGCTTTGCTACCTTGACTCAAACAGGATATAAACGTTTGCAGATAGTCAGCCGAATGAAATAATTTGCAGGAAAATTAAAAATGAAATATGTACTGTGAAAGATGTATGTAGGTGGGTATGTATTTTCTGCATTTGCCCATGGTATTTTCATAGCATAGCCTGCGAATGTTTACATTTTTAAGAATGCATTTCAGTTGCATGTAAAAGGAGCTTAACATCGGTGCGAAATTAGCGTAGTGCCTAATAGTAATACAAGTAAAAAATTTGTACTTTTAAATAGAAAAAAAAATCAACGATATGGCGGATCAGTGTCACGGTTGCGGCAGTATTTACAGTTGACAAAAAATAAAATAAAATAAATGCGAACTGCTTCAAACCAAAATCGCTTAATCAGCGCGATCTCAGAAATAACCTACACCGAATTACTTGCGGCTGCTGCTGCACTGATTTTGTCATTGCTACGGCTACTGCTACTGCTGCCTTTGTTGCTGTTGCCTTTGTACTTTCAATTTGTAGCTAGCTACTCGTATTATCAGAATCGGCTGGCTGAAAAGCACATTCGAAAACAGCGTGATAAGCGCAGATGCGCATCACTGGACTCTGCGAACGAATTGGATGAACCGATCGTACGCAAAAGGAATCTATTATATACAATACAATATTTTATAGAATCGTTATCAATTTATAATTGGCAAAGTTACATACATATGTAAATATGTAAAGCCGAAATTGTTTACAAATATTTAATTCAAGCAGCACTAATGAGTACCGTGGTTAGGTGAGCAAGGCTGGGGAAATATGTATGTATGAAAAGTGGTGATGCTCTTGGCTAGGGTCATCGTGAGGCGCTATCACGCCTAGTTTTATGTACTTTGTTGTAAATATTTCAACAAACTTCATTAACGAAAAGATTACAGATTTGACCGTCAAAAATAATCTATGACCATTTGGTAGCAATAAAAATGGGGTAATTCGATTTTGAAAACTTTTAACAAAAATATACTACAGTTGCGTTCCAGATGCTTCACGAAATTCACGATTTGCAGGAACAGCTGTTTTCCCCATTAATAAACCTTATGGGAGGTGGTCACCTGGAACGACTTCCTGTAAAAACCTGCAAATCGTGAAGCATCTGGAACGCAACTTATGTAAAAGGAATAAAAAAAACAGTTAGGCTTAGCTTATCACTAACTATGTAGTTTAGGGAAGGTTGAAATGGCTGTCTGCATTCAGTAACAGAGTGGGGCACACATTGGCTCAGTGAGCCCGTTATAGTGCCGTTTCAGCAGCTCGTTTCGCGCCCCTTCGCCTGCTAGGCTAAGGTCCGCCAAACAGGAATAGAAGCAATGTGAAATGTGAAAAATGAGCGGTTGCTAGTCCCCGCTAGCACAGCATAGTTTCTAGAATAGTGTACTATGCTTTCAATTTTATCCTCATTGCAACAGATGGGACTTGCCTTGATTAAACAATGACCAGTTATTTATTCGGACACTCTCCGAAATTGTAGACGTTCTAGATGGCAAGTAATATTTTCCAACGGTATTTTTTGTATACATTCTTATCTCTCCAGCATTAATAAGAGTTACCACAAACTCGGTCCAACACTGGGTCGAGCATAAGTGACTGCTACTTCTTTACTTATCAGAATCTTAAAAAAATAAAATAAAATAAAAAGTTTGAAATAAAGTTTTTTGAAAAAAATGTTAATATTACAATACGGCTTCGTGCATATACATATGTATGGCTGGAACGAATGTGTTTTAATCTTCGGATGCACAATGTGTAAAACAAATCGTGTGCGCTTGCTGCATCGCCTACGCCAGTCAGCGATCCTAGAAAGCGACAGCAGCAGCTGTAGCGTCCACAGCAGGGCAGCCTACAGCTATCGAGTATTCAAAAGTGTTGCATTACGACGATAGTGCAATATGAACAAATTAGTTTCAGTTCGTTTCCAGCTATCGAACAACGTGTAGCAGCAGCACCTCGTTTAAAGTAGGCTCGTTAGAACATTTCTACAGTATTTTTGTAGGTAGCATTCCATAAAAATTTATGCAACGAAATCTATTGATACAAAGTTTTAGCGGTGTAAGAAATATTTTAAAATTCGCCTCAAAATGAAGTTGCTTGCACGTGCCGACACTTTTATGTCGTTCACAGTGCTCGAGGATGAGCCAAAGCCATCGGGAATTTTTCAGCAGGTGCAGTTATTAACCGCTTTAAGTCCTACATGCTATATACATACATACATACATACCGATGGTACACTGCAATATGGACACTATTCGAAAATTTAAAAATAAAACCCTTACTAATTTAGTAATACTTGTTACTTACTTTTGTAAGGATATAACATGGATTAGTCAAGGATTAGAGTTTGAATTATGTCGTTATTGCAGAGAACCATCGATATGTACATACAAATGTACCATGCAAAAAATTATCTAGGGCGGCAAAAATTTTAGAAATATAGTTTTAAGTGCACTTTTAGCTACAAAGCATGAATAATTATTTTTTATCGAACTATTTAATAAGATTTCCTTTTCTTGCAGGTACTTGCTGCACTTAGCGTGTCCCTGGGTTCATTGGTTGTTGGTTTCTCATCCGCCTATACCTCGCCAGCCTTGGTCTCCATGACTGATCGGAATTACACAGACTTCGACGTAACACCACAAGCGGTAAGTTTGCAACTTAAACTTTTCAGTTAGCTATTAGAAGCGTAATGCAGTACAAAATAAAATATAAATCTTCCGACTTCAATTTCAGGCCTCTTGGGTCGGTGGTCTAATGCCTTTGGCGGGCTTAGCCGGTGGCATTGCTGGCGGTCCCTTCATTGAATACCTTGGTCGTCGTAACACTATCCTCGCAACCGCTGTGCCCTTCATTATCTCATGGCTGCTAATCGCCTGTGCTGTTAACGTTGGTATGGTGCTAGCTGGCCGTGCGCTGGCCGGCTTCTGCGTGGGTATTGCTTCGCTCTCGCTGCCCGTGTACTTAGGTGAAACGGTACAGCCTGAAGTACGTGGCTCATTGGGTCTGTTGCCTACTGCTTTCGGTAATATAGGCATATTACTGTGTTTCGTTGCCGGTACATACATGGATTGGTCGAAGCTAGCCTTCCTTGGTGGTGCACTACCTGTGCCCTTCCTGATACTTATGTTCCTTATACCCGAAACTCCACGTTGGTATGTTTCACGTGGACGTGAAGATCGTGCTCGTCGTGCTCTACAATGGCTGCGTGGTAGACAAGCCGATGTGGAACCTGAATTGAAGGGTCTATTGCGAACACAAGCTCAAGCTGACCGACATGCAACAGGCAATCAGCTAATGGAGTTGATGAGGCGCAGCAATTTGAAGCCTTTATCCATTTCGTTGGGTCTTATGTTCTTCCAGCAGCTCAGCGGCATAAATGCAGTCATTTTCTATACAGTATCGATATTTCAAGATGCGGGATCGACCATTGATGGCAATGTGTGTACAATCATTGTGGGTGTGGTGAACTTTATAGCGACATTTATGGCAACTGTACTTATCGATCGGCTGGGACGTAAGGTACTAAAATTGTGTGAAATCTTTTCTATGCAAATGCAAATATGTATACTATATATAAAAGATGTACATACATATGTAGATGTTATTACATTTATGGATACAAATTCATGATTTTTTACTTTTCACAGATTTTACTGTATATCTCCGATGTGGCCATGATTCTTTCACTTTTCACACTTGGCGGTTTCTTCTACTGCAAAGCAGCTGGCATGGATATCTCTGAAATTGGTTGGTTGCCACTGGCTAGTTTTGTAATCTACGTAGTTGGCTTTTCACTCGGTTTTGGACCCATTCCCTGGTTGATGATGGGCGAGATATTGCCATCAAAGATTCGTGGCTCAGCCGCATCGGTGGCCACGGCTTTCAACTGGTCATGTACATTCATCGTAACGAAGACTTTCCGCGACATGATTGGTGAGTAACACCTATATACATATGTATTTACCTGTATGCACACGCACGATTGAGATCAACAGAGCAACATTAATTTTTCGATTTCAATATTTGCAGACACAATGGGTGCGCATGGTGCATTCTGGCTTTTTGGTTCCATCTGTGTGGTGGGCTTGTTCTTCGTGATACTGTATGTGCCAGAGACGCAGGGCAAAACTCTTGAAGATATTGAACGCAAAATGATGGGTCGCGTGCGTCGTATGTCCTCTGTGGCGAACATGAAACCGCTGTCCTTCAATATGTAGAATGGTATTACTCAAGTCCGGCATGCGTAGAGCGTATGCGTAATACATGTACATAAAAATATATATGTGTACATACATACAACCAAATACTAGTTTAAGTGCCTTAACTTTAAATCTAGTTCCCGTGACACTGCAGCAGCTCTAAGGAACCAGTGTATGAAGTAAAGTTTGACGAACAAAGCGGAAATAAAGTGCGCAGTTAGAATGTACGAATATTATATAGTTATTTAAGCAGTTAGCAAGTCAAAGAAGTTATGTAGATGAGATTTATTATATTCTAAATGTGATGTAGTCTATTAGCCGCTGGGCAATGCAAAATTTTTTAAAAAGAAATATGTAAGAAGAAACAAACTATGATATGCAAAAAAATATTATGTTATTAGTAGTATTTACCGTAAAAATGTAGTAGTGAACTGTGTACTTTGTTTTTAATGGAAAATATCAGTTTTCTATTATTATATTGACTTGTAGTGCTACATATATTTATTAAGTTAGAGGATATAAATAACCAAAATTTCTTAAGAAAAAAGCAAAAGTTGAGAAATGCAAATTTGAAAGTAATAATGAAATAGTTTAAAAACAATTATTATTATTGTAAACCAATATAAATTAACTACCTATTATTTTTAAGTACCTGTTAAAACAAAGAAAACATTCAAATATAAAAGGTTCATAGACCAAAACCGAAGTGTACAATGACCTAAAGCAAGTTAGCTTTTTTTAGTACTCTTGAGATGAAGAAATATTAGACGAAAATCTGCTTTGAACAGAGCACTAAAGGGTGTTAAAACCGGGGTTCACACAGGCTAGTATATTCTCCCCTCTTTTGTTTAATTTCTATATTTCGAACAGCACTTGCACAATGAAGCAGAGGTGCCTCCACCTAGGGGGCACGACATCACAACTCAGCAAGCAATTTCTGGTCGGCTGCTGAGGACCTGGCGCCCGAGCAGACACTAGAAGCGGAAAAGGTGGGACCTTAGCCTTCAAGGCTACTAGGCGTCGCAGATATATTTGAGCAAGGCCATGACAAAAAATCTTAACAGCGCTACAAACATCATCGCTTTCTAAGTGTACACACCACCTACGACGAGATACAGCACCAGCTAAGTAAAGAAGAAGCTATTCAAAGAGGCAGTTGAAGAGGATAGGGTATAAAATAAATTAGAACTGTAACGATTGTCGAACTTGTGGTAATTTAAAGCAGGGACCGAGAGCGCGCTGCAGTTTTGGTTTAGGACTGCATGTAATCTCAGGAACGACAAAGAACTAAGCGGAAGAAAAAGTACTAAGAGCAGTTTTAACGGAGACTAAATGAGAACAAACGGTTCGGGAATGTTTCCGTAAAGAACAAAATGCGAACAAAACTCTTGGGCACGTTCTCAAGTAGAACAGAATAAGAACGAAACTTTCGGATAGGTTTTCAATGAGAACAAAATGAGAACGGGAAATCGAGAACAAAAGTCTGGTGAACTTTCTGCTACTTAAGGTTAATAATGAAAGAGGCGTCTGCATGATGGGATGAAAAGTCGTTTCAGTGAAATCCACGATTGATAATTCTGTCAGAAAATTCTTGAGACTTTAGTTCCCAAATGGTTCTTCAAGAGAAAATTCCTTAGGCATTTGTTCCGTTTTTGTTCTTTGCCAGAACGATCCGGAGACTTTGGTTCCCATTTTGTTCTCTTAGAAATGTATTGTTCGTATTTTGTTCTCTTTCAGAACATTCCACAGGGGTTTGTTCTTATATAATTACCGTTGAAAAAGTTTTGACAGTTTTGTTCTTGTGAAAACATTCCTGAAGATTTTGTTCTCATTTCGGTTTGGGTTTTAAGCGCTCATTGCTCTTCAAAAGCAATATATATCAGACCTTATATCTTGTCATCTATTGCCGGCCATTTGGTACTTTAACAGCTACATGTTCATTTGCATGAAAACTTCGTGACGGCAACAGTAGTACACCCAGAAAGGATTATCGCATCACGTCAACTAAAAAGTTATATCTTTTTCTGAAACCGACACCCTGTAGTGAGTGTTCAAAATCACTTGGAGCAAATTCATCTTTTTTTCGGCCCTTATATCAGATACTGTAATGTACAGCCGTTCTGTATACGTAAAAACTACGTCCGAATTAGTTTTTTTTTTAAGTATTTAGAACTGGACTTTTTTCTTCCAAATTTTTTTTTCAAAAACTAGACGAGCTAAAAAAAATTTAAGAAATTTGAAAACAGCATCGACAAATCTAGAAGATGATGTCGGTTCTATTTTCGAGATCAAACTCGCCCAGTTTTTCTTGAAAATTTTAATTGTTGCTAAAATTCTACTAAAGGGCAAAATTTGTGCTTAAACTCGTTTTAAACATACAGAATAGGTTCAAAATGATTTTCAACTTTAACTGGTTGCTGTGTCTGTATTCAAGGCAATTCAGTTCGCAAGGAATATATATAATTTAATCTTGATGTTAGGAAAGTATTGGACGTTTCGAAATCCAGTCCATATTTCTCAAATCAATTGTTTCAAACTTAATTTTAGGAAACATTTGCTAAAGGAAATCTTTTTATTCAAAATGTAAAGGCTAAAACTGCAAAGAAAAAGTGCTTAGCCGAAAAAAAGTCATTGTAAGAAAATGTATCAAAATTAAAATCTTATAAGAATTTAGAAGGAGATGAAAGATAAAGGTGGAGAAATTCCGAAACTGGGCATCCATGCAATTTATTGGCTGGTTTTAAGAGGGCAATGTTGAATTCAGTTGCAATTTTACCTGTACCAATGCATAAAAAAGACTAAGAGTCTGTCTTCTATACTTCTGATACTCCTGTTAATCTCGTAAGAACTTGAGAAAGCAAAAAAGAAGCTTTAGTGGAAGACCTAAAACGACGGTCCCCCGCTTTCAATATGGCGGCAATTTCACAACCCCCTGAGTCCAGCACGTTTTATATTCCCGGCGACCGACTTTACAGTATTCAAATAGATTTAACCACCAAGTAAAGTATTGCAAGTTTTTTGTAATTGCACTATAATACAATAATTTTTGTATTTACTCAGAAACTAATTAACAAGTAATTTAAAAAATTATTTTTAAAGACAAGATTTCATTAGTGGTTAACAAAAAAGAAAAAAAATCTACCACCGCACCTCTAAATTTCTTATGGAATCATAATTTTTTCCAAATACTCCTGAGCCACCTATCAGGCAACATTTTTGTGGTGTTATTCATTTCAGCGGACCGTAAATATGGGCTTTTCAAATGTAATTCTTTTATATTGCAATGTCATAGGGGTCCGAGCTAAATTTGAAATTTCAAGTCTGCAGCTTAACGGGAAGTTGGTTAAAAGTTGATTACAAGATTTTATTACTCACAGGTGAAACTCAATAAAAGTTTGTAAAAACGAACGGCATTATTTGTTGAACTCGGCCAAAATCGAATTACAAGCAGACTACACGTATGTATGTACATTAGACTGCATCACAAAAAAAAGTTGCGGATTTTCCGGCGGGATTATAAAATCTAGTATATTCTAATGGCCTTATTCATAATAAAATTATAGTTTAAAAAACTAAAACCTCCCTATTATAATTGCCATTCGTACTGTCATCAGCTATGTAACTTGAGAATAGAAATCGCTGCATCTTTCAGGCGCATCAATATTACATAGTTACATCCCGAGAAGGTAAAAAATAAAGTAGCTGTGAGCTGCACCGATTTAAAAAAAACATGTAAAAATGGAGTTTTTTATGAATAAAAATCAGGCGCTGGCCCAATGCAGGCTTGCTTTGCACGCCTTGCTTTCTTTCAAATGGCGCCTTGGAACGCTGTCAAAGCAACCAGCTGTGTAGTTAAAAAGTCAAGGTCTGTTTCCTTACACTACGAATAATTTTGCCATAAAATTACAGAAAATTAAAAAAAAAAGAAATACAAAACAATGTTTTCCGATTTACTTTTAAATGAATGTGAATTAATTTTTGCATTTCAAAGGAATGATAATAATTATACATACGTATATAACTGTATGTACATTTATTAAAAACAACAAACTCAAATAAAAATCGATTCATTCACGTCCCAATTCAACCTGGAATGACGCTTGTTTATTTTACCTTTCTCTTTCATAAGCTTGAATGAGCATATTTGCAAAGAAATTAGAAGGGCGAGAAAATACCTTATCAATGATACCTCATAAGTCAAAATTGGTAGGGTTTTGGCTGAGTTATTTAGATTTTTCTCATACCAGTCTTTGAAAAAATTCAAAAACAGCATCAAAAATCTCATTATGATTCTGTAGAAATTTTTTTTTATATTTTTATGCAATTTTTGTGAGCTTAAATGTTTAATCATCTGAGGTAATATTTTTAAAAAAATACTGGTTTTATTAATAAAAATCTCAATTTTCGGAGGTATTTTCAAATCAGTCCAACTCAAGTAAATCTTAATATTTTTGCGAGATATTGGGGTGAAAGTCTTAAAATATAATAGATTTTATAATTCCAGTGGAAAAACAGTACCGATTTTTTTTGTGTGGGGAGTGATGCAGTCTAATATATATATGTACACATTAATTTATGTGCATACATGCATATGAATAGTATATGAGCAAAAACACCAACAACAAAAAGAAAGTATGTACGTAAAAAGACTATCACTTAGAAATCAGTTATATCAAGATTATTCCGGATTTTGTTATTATTAATGCTACTTATACATACATACATAGTACAGGACGCCATTATCAGTGCCAGGTTCTTTAAATGACACTTTTAGGAGTCAATTTAAAATTCAAAATGATATTTCATAATGAATGCAAAATGCCCTATTTAACAATTTTAGGGAAATGACGCTTTTAACCTTTATGTGTACACCCGAGGTAGCTATGAATTCAGCGGCAAAAAAAAATTAAAAAAATCAACGTCAAGTCTTACCTACTTAAGACTTGGATTTATTGTACTATAATTGAATGAGCTAAAACACTCCGCACCCACAATCTTTCTAAGAAATCTAATTAAAAATTTTAAATTTTTACCAAAACTTTTTTTTTTAATATAGCACAATGTATGAAACATGCTTTCCAGGCGAATTCATATACATGAATTCGTTT